GGGGAGCTGTGCGAGAGAACGGCAAGCCCAAAACGAGGACAAAGAGAAAATGACAAAGACGAGAGGGGCGTTCGATTCGATTGGAAAGGCAGGCAGAGGGGCCTCTTTCCTTTTACCAGCGTTTTCTCCGTATTATGCTCCGTACTTTCCGTTGTTCCTATGCGCGCGCGCGCGCGCCTTCGCCGAGTTGCACACACAAACACGCGCGAGTGCGCGCGCCTACACCTATACGTAAGCAATATACTCTATCCGGAGGAATATACATTCAACCGCGTTCTCTTTCTTTTCTGTGTTTCTTTGCGTCCATTACCTTTCATTCTCTCTACCTCTATCTCTCTCCCTGCCACCGCTTCTGCCTCTGCCACCGTCTATGCCTCTGACTATATCTCTGTATAGGTTCTTAGCACTTGTACACAACTTTTTCCTTTCCTCTCCTTGCTTCCTCTCTCTTTTGCCATCTCAATTACTATACGAGGTTTCACGTTATGTGGCTCTATGCTTTTGCGGCGAGAGGGCAGCTTTATACGTGGGTGAACGGGAAAATGTCTTTTGAAACCTTTCTAGGTCGCTCTCGATCGCCCCACTGTCAGTCATATACACGCGATTCCGCTCGAGGCTCTCGAGAAAATAGTCGATCTCATCGTAGTTTTCTTTTAGAGATAGTACAAGCTGGAATTATAGTCGAAATACGAAACTTTTCCGGGACTGGTATCCCCCCCCCCCCCCACCACCCTTTTGCCAAAAGAACCTCTGTCCCCGTCGAACAAACGTAACTCACTGGAATCTTTAAATAAATCTTCTTACTTAGCTGTAGTCTTTAAACACGAGTTTAAACTCTGCAAGTTTTTAAATGCGCTTCCCAACGTTATCTCATATAGTCGTGGTCGTCCTCCGGAACTCGAGCCTTGAATCGTTCTAAGAAAAAATAGGAAAACAAGAAGAGAGAGAGAAACAGGCATCGAAATGGAAGGGATAGAGACATGGCGAAGAGAGGGAGACGTAGATGCAGAAGGGAAGAGAAGAGAAGGAAAGGAAAGAGAAGAGCAAAGAGACGAGAAGAGAAGAAAAGGAAAGGAAAGAGAAGAGCAAAGAGACGAGAAGAGAAGAGGAGGAAAGGAAAGAGAAGAGAGAAGGGAAGAGAAGAGAAGTAAAGCGTAGGGAAGAGAAGAGAGAAGAGAAGGGAATGTGCGCGAAGAGGAGGAGAAGGAGGTGGAGTAGGAGGGGGAGGAGAGGGAGGTTCTCTTGGTGGGTACGAATGCGGCAAGGCCGAGAGAAGGAACAGTAAAATTGTGGAGAATGTGTACGCGCCATCAGGGTGGCCTAGATTCAGTCAAGACCTGCTTTCTAGGCAGCATTTCTCTTTATCATCGGCACCGCGAGTACAATGTATAGGTAAACCGTTGCTTGCCGCACGATCGTGGAGAAAATCTCAGGTGCACACACAGTGCGTACCCATTACCGACTCTCCCGATCGTTTTACCAATGATTTAATAAATAATAATGCTTGTGTAACCACGGACAATTACAGATTGCCAATTCGTATTGCCGCTCCACTTCAATTTTCCCCGTTTCTCCTCGCCTTCCAACCACCTACTCCTTCTCCTTTCCTTTCTGCCCGCATCTACGTCTTTACAGATTCAGTTTCTTTATCATCTTGAATGTGTACGCGATCCGCACTTTCGCGCGTACCATTCTGTGCTTCTTATTGAAATATACCGTCATCCTAGCTCTCACTATTTGACGAATAAATTTGCGAAATAATCGAGAAAAACGGTGGAAGAAAACTGTCGAGGTATTTACAAGGTAGGGCGAAAGATAACGAAAGAAACGAAGAAATAAAGTTTTCACAAAGTTTTGCGTAATCATTGTACGATACGCGTTGGTGTAGGAGTAATTTCGCGGGAAGACAACACACCGGTTCTGTTTTCCATTGTGTTTAGCTGTATCTATAACACGCGCAAACATTAAATAAGTGTTTCCTGCGCATACGTAATCGTTGATTATTGGACAGTTATCGTGCACGTGACCTACCGTAATCGACGACAGCGGTTCGAACGTGCACGCGGCAAGTGTTCCAAATCCTCATGGAGAGAAGCCACGAGGCGCGCGTGGAGGGACGTTTAATTCGTCTCTCCGTACGACAGGTCGTTAAACGTTGTGTAGATCATTGTCACGCACACCTATGCAACTACGCACACGCGAACTGACCAGCTGTGCGGGGCTACAGACGACGACGAACCGGTCGAAAGTCAAAACAATACGCGCGAGCACGCGTAAATGTGATTGTCGAATAATTCAAAAACATTTTTTACAACACATCGAAAACGTCTTGTTAACTGTGTGTATGTATATTTACCGATAAAAAGTTACTCTGTCGCAGGCATAGTTGATAAACGAGCAACATTTCGATACATTACACTGCATATAGGGCGTATGTAGGGTTCAGCTTGAGACAACTATAGAGAATGTATGTGGGTATATATACTTTGCGCGTTTCGCGTCGAACAAAAGAGCACTTAAGAACAGCGAGATGTAACGTGCGAGCACGGTACCGATCAAACGGGTGAATCAATCGCACCGTTTCAAATCTGTCATTGCACTTACCTTACCATGACCTGGCCCACGAACAAAATCACCACGGGTGCTAAAGTTCGGCCGATGTTTGGCAACTTGGTGCCAAGATCCGCAGGAGGCACTCACTTTTGCGATTGTATAGTTATGACACTCGGTGTACACGAAGAATATAGTAAGAAAGACCAAACGTGTTAAACGCGAAGGATTTTCCACAGAAAACGCGTGTACGCGAGATGACACTAGGACAATTGTCAGTCGTTGCGTAGAGCACGTACCGCGCTGATGGCTGGCAGCTGTCACTCTCGGTTTGCCCGTGAAAACGTCGCGGCACGAAGTGGCGTAGCGAATCACGGAGAGAGACGGAGAAAGAGAAAGACATAAATGCACACTAGGGGGCACCGTGATGGCGGCGGACGACCAGTGTTCCGTTGCGGACGGTGGCGCAAAGCGATTAAGCGATTTTGTTGTGGACCCCGATTCTTCCCTTCGTCGGCTCTCTCTTCCCGGCTTTCCACTTCTCCCGCGCCTCCTTTCGCCTCTCCCGCCGGCTGCGCTACGCCGTAAACGCGCCCCTGAACGGAAATCTGCCTTCCTCCCCACCAAGTGCGCGCAAACCCCTACCACCACCACCACCACCACCGCCAACACCACTACCAATTGCCATAAGTTAAACCGGCAAAAATCAGGATTGTATCAACTGTGTTTGTTTATAACACGAGATCATTTCTTCGTTTCAAATCGTTCGATTAATTTGATCGTGGCATTTAATATAGCGTTAAATTTCATCACGTACCAAATCGTTTGGAGCAATCGGTACCGGTATGATTTTCATTTGCACACAGTACATCGCAATACCCGTCTCTTTCTTATCCTATGTTTGACAGGTGAATAAAAGTGTAAATTTTCGAATTAATTGTACGGTGGTAGAAAGGAATTAAAAGTTATCGGCGATATCTTTTTGCCACATTATTTTTCTTCCGCAGAAAAATAGTCACTAGGTTCTGAAACTCTTTCGACGATCCTGTGTTAACCAGCCGTTCTCTTTACCCCACTATTCGTGTACCTTGATGCGCAGAACGTCAAATTTCATTTTCTGCGCCGCGTCTCCCCACAAGAAGCACACGGTTTCCGTGCATCCCGGTTATCCGTTCGCAGAGCGGGTCGATCGTTAACGCGTATCGCTACGGCCATTGTGTAAAAAGAAGTCACGGCGCTAGGATAGTGTACGCTGAGGACGAGACGTGTAGTTTTTCCAAGTTTTCCTCTTGTGATATTTAGAGTGTGCCAATATAGGTGAGTAATTTATACGCATACGTTTATTTACGTTTTAAGCGTTAGATTTTATTTCGAATAGTTTCGTGTTATAGTTGTCGTGAAAAGTTCGTGAAAAATCAGGTCGACTGGTCAAAGCAATGGTGTGATATGCGGTTTTTTCATCATAGAAGCGTAATCTTATGTGAAAGTGTGCATTTACAGCGTACGGAACGTTACGAAAATAGCATTTGTTATGAGTTTTAGGTAAATTATTCACGGGTTTAGAAACAAATTTTCATTTTCTAAGCTTTTTTCCATGGTTTTCGCCATTTTGCCTTGGCCAAGCGTGCAAAGTCGGCCATTACGTACGCGTGCTAGGTTGCGGTCCAGGGCCGGTTAATGACGTGCAAGTACACTTTATGCGTTTTTATCGTTAATTCATGAATTTTAGTCACACTTATACACGTTATCGATATCTCGTGGTCTCGCGATAAGTGAATAGTTGTGATATGGTATATTATTTGAGAAATGTCCTAATTCAAATGTGAAAGTCGATCACATCTCTTTTCCATACACACTACTTATTTATCATATTTTTCATCGCTTTTTTTTTATTAAACAGTTTAACAAGCATTAGCATTTGATCAAGTGTTGAGCAAGTGTATAGATACGTATTTTTTCACTTGACTTGGAAGAATTTTGTCGCGCGTAGTGTTGTCGATTTGGAATCTTCTCCAATCTCTAGGAATATTTTAGCATTGAAATGTAATTGTCGTGTGGAACAGTTTTTCACTGTGATAATATTCATTTTCTATAAGATATTCGGTACTCGTGTATACATAAACTAGTCAGTGAAGATAGAAAAATACGTGGTTTGTCAGTTAGCGTCCTCTAGCCGCTATTCCCAATCACGGCGAGATGATGATAGCTTTCGGGAGCAGAGCGCATGCTCATTAGTTGCCTTCGTTTTTTCTTCTCTCGTGCCCTCTTCCGGGGAAGCCTGCGCTCTCTGACGGTCGGTGTACAGGCAAGCTAGCAGGCGTTGCGCTACGCCATTGTTGAAAAGGGCAGCGCTCGAGGCGCACGCCGAGCTCGGACGCTTACACAGTTTTTTTCACTTTTCACCCATCCCGTTGCTGTGATATTAGATTGTTTTATACCCCATATTAGGTGAGTGTTGCAACACACAGTTATTTATTTTGCAAAGATCTTAATTTCGCGAAAGCTCGCAAGAAAATTGCGGAAAATCTGAAGGTGGGGTGACATGGCGCGGGCGGGCGGGCGGATCCTCTGTATATTTTTAAGAAAACACTATTTTTGCTTGGTTTGCATCAAAGAGGAAATTTTCCGGTGAAGCAAGTGTTTGCGATTTCAGTGTTCTCGTCCAGACGATGCTTTAACGGGAAATTTCGATACTAGTGATAAATTTTTGGTCATCTTTTTCCTTACGAGCTTTTCTTCTATCGCCATTTTGTCCGGGCGCGACCTCGCGGACGGCCATATTGTGTTCCACGTCTCCTCTCCTCTCGTAGTTTCTGGGGGCGGTGTGAGGAAAGTGCATCGTTCTTTTTCGCCGGTCGGGTAGATACGATTGGAAAAATTATCTGTCGTCAACTTGTTTTTGTTTCGCACACGTTGCTCGGCGCCATCTGACGTAACATTCAATGCGAGATAACAATATAAATAGATTACGCAATCGCGCGTAAGCAGTGGTGAATGCTCTTCGTTTTATTCCGCATTAATCTTCACGCGTGTATACTTGCATTGTCGTTGCCCCCCTTCCCCCACTCATCCAGCCAACTTAGGTTGAGACTTACGCGTTGCGCATGTCAACCGAGTAATCGATTTTCCATTTTATTGCGCGCCAATGATGTAAACCTCGGTGACGTAAATTCTATTACTCTTTTACCTGTGCCATTAAACCTTAACGTGGTTGGTGCTTCTCGAATACCCTATCGAACTTCGTCTACACTTTGCGAATCTAACGTCTAATTACGTCTGTATATTGTTGGTACTGTACATAATACTCTATCGTATGACAGTTAATGCACAGGATATTTTGGCAGACCATGGTGTTATCGATTGAAATATGTTTTCCACTCGACAAGTGGACATTTTATATCGGAAATAACGTTGAATTATTATTCTCGTGTTTGTAAATTACATCGTAATTAGACACCGTAGATCTCTTTATTTTGCATATACAGTTCGTTAAATTGAGATGTTTTAACGGCATTTATTTTCCGTGCGATCGACTCGACCCACAAATTTTCCTCCCGGATTTCGAGAGGTTTGTCGTCAGGGTGCTGGAATATCCAGCAGACGCCCCTGAATTCCAGGGGCCTCGAGCTAGTGCGCAAGTTAAATGCGCAGGTCGGGCGCAGCTGCGCATGCGTGGTGCTTGCGCGTCCTCCTGCATCATCCCCACCAAATCGTCCATTACCGTTATGAGGACACGCACAAAGGAAAAGGCCAGAAGACCAATTCGACCGACGCGCTTGCATCGTACGGCCATTTTGGAAGCTTCGGTGCTTCCTCGCGGAGCTTTTGCCGCGCGGTTACATATCAGTCGAGAGAGAATAGATCAATATTATTAATTCTGGACCTCGTAGTTTCGAGTCGTAGTCCGGCTCAATGTTCGTGTTAATCGGGCGTAGGATAGTTAGATAGCATTAGGCACGGTCGATATTTGAACGGCAAACAGATCTGTTTGGCCTGCCCGTTACCACGAATATTTTTCTTGCTTCTTCAGAAACGAGGGAACTTCGTTAAAGAAAATGGAAGACGACCAGCAGTTCTGCCTTAGGTGGAATAATCACCAGAGTACATTAATTCAAAACTTCGACACGCTGCTCGAAAGCGGGACGCTGGTCGACTGCACGCTGGCGGCGGAGGGGAAATACTTAAAAGCCCATAAGGTTGTTCTCTCCGCGTGCAGTCCTTATTTCGAGGTGAGTCTATTTTTTAATCCCTCTTATTCTCACCATTCTCCTTGGCTTTATACCATCCTCAACATTATTACCCTCATTACGATTATTTTCATTAATGTTAGTTGCATTTTATTGATTATTTAGCAAGGTACGCCCGATAGCTTTTTATGATTTTTATGATCGATTCAAAGTTAAAATAATTTAATATTAGTTTGGTTCAGTTTGAGGTCGCGATCAGGCGACAACTATATTGATCTTTTTACGTTCAAAGTGTAGCTGCAGTTATGTTAATACCTAATAAATAAAAGACAAATGAATAGACTCGTAAGAAATTAGTTATTCGAAAGTTAGTTTTCCATTGAATTGATTTACCAATTCCATTGGCTAAGTATGATTAGGATTGTATAATTAATCTTGGAATTCAAACTGAAAGGGGGGAAACTGAAATTGAAACAAGATGGCTGCCCTTGTTGAATGTTGTCTGGGCAGAAGCCCGAGAGGCAGGGGGACTGAAAGCCCAAACCCCCTCCTGGTTCCTCTTGGTAATCAATACAGAGAAAGCAAGATGGCTGATTTCCAGGGCACTTGCCCTGGGATTTTACCCTGACGTGGGTGGAGGGGGTGTGCGAAGAGAGGCGCAGTATATCATCAATTTGAGCTTTGAATTATAAAATTGAATTCCAATTATTAAGATCAGCTAATATTAAGATTGAAATTTTCTAACATTGATTTCGAACATGAACTTCTCTTAATAAAAGCTGCTTCGATTCTATTATATATGCCATTGAGAGCTTGGGCGTATGATTTCTTTTTACTTGAATTTGTTAGTCTTTTTTCTCGTTAATTTTGAAGTAGTCGCGTACCAGTCAGTAATTAAAGAATGTATAACAGATTGGTCGTGAATAAAATTCGAAATTCCTAACGGGAAATGTGTATATGGTGGTTCAATGGGGAAATGTTTTCATTATAGGGCCTCCTCAGTGAACACTACGACAAGCACCCGGTTTTCATATTAAAAGATGTTAAGTTTAAAGAATTAAAAGCAATGATGGACTATATGTACAGGGGAGAAGTAAATATCTCCCAAGACCAATTGGCAGCACTTCTTAAAGCCGCTGAGTCTCTACAAATTAAGGGTCTCTCAGAAAGTAAAACGGGTGGTAGCAGTAAGACGGACTCCTCTAGGCAACAAAAGGTCGTTCCACAAACAACGCCACCGTCGTCGTCAGACATTCCACACGCGTCTTCCGGGCTCACTATAGAAAAGAACAAAGTTCCTAGGCAGGGTATGGCGCAAGGTTCCGTAGGGGACCTGCCTGAAGACTCGGCCAGTCCCCAAATACCTAAGGGTCTCTCCTCGAGGTGAGAATATTCATGATAATATTATAGTTTACGTATAGAAGTAAAATTTAATACGACGCTTGTAAACGATTCGTTCGTTTGTTTATTTTGTTCACTCTTACAGGGAGGGCTCCCAAAGTCCACTTCCGAGGAAAAGAAAAAGGTACAGAAGAAGAAGCGTCGGTGAAGATAATTCGGTAGAGAATCATGAGGCTTCGAATTCAAGCGATATGCCTCAACAAATGGGTGTTCCTGCGCTTGGAATTGCACCCGTAGCGGACGAAAAAACCCATGCAGACCCTACAGACTCTATTGGTAGGTCAGCCTTAATGACGCAGCTGACGAAACCTGCGGATGAAATGCTACAGGTGAGTGAAAATGCTGAAAAAATGATAGGAATATTCGGCAAAAGTTTTGGCACGTAATCATGTTACAATAATCGCTTGCCAGCGACTAATGGAGACTGTTGCTATTACACTGTTCTCTTCTCGCGCGTTGGTAGAGTAAATATCGAACAAAATCCTACTATCTGATGTTACATTATCATAGTCTTATAGAGTGGAAACGGTGCGATACACGATCCTAATAATTTCCAAATAAGTAATGAAAGGAAATAAAGGATGAAAAGAATCGATTTTGTATAAAATATTTTTCTTTCTCTATAGTTGCCATTGGAAAAGCCAGAGCCCAATGACAGCCTTATAGAGCCAAAGTCTGAGTATTTAGAAGATCAGGAAGAAAGCGTCGAAGATCTGACGCTGGATGACGATATGAACGATCTGAACGAGATGGAACAAGATAACAATAGAGCCGGGCCCTCCCACGACCCCTCCCAACACCCTGGTAAGTTGAATGAACCTATGTTCCTTTTATATATTTTGTTTGTTTGTTCTTTTATTGGAACGTAGTAGCGGAATACAGGGTATTTTCGCGAATTCACATGATGCGAGTCGATTTAGTCATTTTCTACACGTACGTTGCGAATTGAATTATCGTTGCGTTAGACGTGTATATATGTATATATGCCTAGACGATTGTTGCTCACAAACACGGCGAATTCCCCATACGTAGTTGAATTTTAACGAGAAATCATATCGTGTTGTGACGAGTAGCAAAACTTCGAACCAAAGAATCAAAGTTTCTCGAAGCACAAGCTTTCCATTTGTATGATTATTGGTGTGTCGAGAATCTGGTAAAAGAAAGAAAGGTGATCGGATGCGCGGTGTAACGTTTATAGATAATGAATCGTGAATAGAAAATGCAGAATATAATCGTCGATTAGTGGAAAAAGGGGAGCGGGGAGCGATAGATACTCGTGTTATTTGTAACCGTGAGATTTCATGCGTTTAATCAGGCGTTTTCGAACGTTTCGTTTTTTCTTTGTTAAGTGTTAAACGGATCGTGCAATGATCGGCCGACACTAGCTTGGGTTTCCTCGTTGCAGGTGGGGGGGCGGGAGCGCGGTCTCGGTCGAGAGGGAATTTGGGTGGTGGTGGTGGCGGCGGCGGTGCCCTCTGGGCGTCTCATTTCCTCGAATGTAAAAAAGGGCCGAACATGAGGCGGCCACGGCCAGACGTAGACGCTGACGTAGACGGGTTGCTTAAATCGCTGGAAAACAAACACGGCAGAAAGTATAGTTTATACTCGGTTAAAATGTCCCTGGAAGCGATATTACGGCAGGGGGTTAGCACCACTCAGGCGTCAGAGATGTATGGCATTAATCGATCAACCCTGCAGTTCTATTTGAAAAAGTTGAACGTCAGAAGGAGATGAAGACGACAGCCTAGTAATGTAATCCAGCCTAGGCAGCCCTAGTGTTGTGCTCTGTATGCTTTAATTAATAGTTTAATGTAACGATGTTCGATATCGTGGAAATTCACCGCGCGGTAAAACAGTGTGTGGCTATACCATAACGCAATTCACTGTTCGATTTTATTCCATTGTTGCATTCAACGAATATACTTATATACGTGTTTCATGGCAATTTCTTCGGATTACACTTAACGAAGGAGGTTGCCACGAAACGATATATCCTCATACGCACATATCGTAGATTTTACGGAGCAACACTTGAAAATCTTAACTGTGCTGTGTATGCGTGTTTGGAAGAAACATACGCGCAGGGCTTATATTTCGTCCGTGACTTGCCGATTCCCGATTCTCTCGGTTATTGACTTGTTCCAAAAAATCTTGGTCGTATTTCGGAAAATCAACATGCGCCGCCTAGCTCTTCTCGTTATTTATACATATGTGTATACTACGCGAAAACTATGCATACACATATCATGTATATATGTGTATGTATAGGTTAGGAGACTACTTACTCCATGTATGAGTTTTACGATTGAGAGCTTTTTACCGTCGTTTCTATACGTATTATTCAAAGAGCCGAGCCTCGTTCTAAGAAGGAGGAAAGGTGGTAATATCTAAGCAGTATATTGATCTCGTTAATTGTTCAATACATTTTGTAGCCACTTTATCTTTGTTATTACTTATAGTCGTGTTCATGTTTATAATGAAATCAGTGTGAGTCGACAGGTGTAAGATCAGCGGTGTACAAAATGTCAAATGACTGTGAAGTAGCTTGGAAACTATCAGTATTACTTCTTCGTTGTAAGTGTTATCGTAGAGGTGTTTAAATTAGGTAAAAAGATATTCGAGGTATATCAAGAATTCGACGTATCTTCTCGTATACGTGTATGCATGCGCGCACGATGATCATCGCGACTGCGTTTAATAGGAATGTGTACCATATTTCGTGTTATTCATTGGACCAGTGGTTCAATTATTATACTATTTACGTGATAATACTGCCGCCGGGTATTTAGACTTGTTTGCTGTAAGAGAATGTGTATGATTTTTCTGATATCACAAAGAATACCCTGTATTTCACTACTTGAGACTATTTCAGCGATTCGAAGATCTCTCTTTTTTTCCCCCCCTTTTATTCTCGTTTCAATGAGAATAAATTGCTAATATAATAAAGTATTACCCTTCGTTCCTGATATTTAACGAGTTTTCTTTTTTCCTGTTTGTTTCGTTTCATTTTTCTTTCGTTTCGTTTCTCTCAAGTCACTCTTCAGTGGGTCAAGTTTGACGAGTATGGTTTTGTGATTGTTTAATTAGCAGGTATAGGTGCGTGGCACGTTACCGGAGATCGAAGTAACGCGGGAGGAGTCGTGGGCTCGGTGGCAGGAGCTCCAGGAACGACGGACGAAGTCTTTCTTGCAGCCCAGGAGGCCGCCCAGGCCCACCGGGACTCTCAAGGTAGGCTCATCCACATCATTTTTCATTAGCTCCTGCCCGCCGTAACAATAGGCACTCGTATTTGCCACAACTTTTCTTCTTCTTCTTTTCCTTCATTTTCTTCGTTTACTTCTTTACGTTTTTACTCAACGTTGATGCAATCAGCAACGTTTGTTTTTTACCTTGGAAATTCTAAAGATTCGTATAACAGATCCGATCGGGTGAAAACGAGTGGAAATATGGATATTCTACGAATGTGCTTAATCAAATTGTTCAATTGTCGTTACAGTGATGATGCACACACACACGCGCGCGGTGTTAAATAAGTTGGATGGAAATGGAAAAATATATGTTTCGAAAAAAAGGAAAAGCACATTCTCAGGATTCAATACGAAATTGTAGGCGTTTACTGCGAGAAAGTGCCCATTGCGCAGGTGTGACAGGACTTATTTTTTCTTTTCACTGTCGAATAACGTGGTTCAACCTAGATGCCGGTAGGTTCAAGAGTAGCACGGTCTCTGAAAGAGCTTTTTCACAATTTCTAAACAGGGCATGTAGCTTCTCGTTAATTTCCAAGATCCTTGTATCTTTGTCTACCTTTTTTTTTTTTTTTTTATTATTTTCATCGCGATACCACGTTACGAGGTTGACGCAAGGCTCGCCCACGATCGTTTTAACGACTATTACATTTATCGTCGTCGTTGTCGTCGTCGTCGTCGTCATCATCATCATCGTCGTAGTTGGCTTTTAGTCCTGGTCGTCGTTGACTCCTCTCTTTCCTCGTGTATACATACGCGCAAGTGCACACACAAATGCACGTGTTATTCTTATCGGCCGGTCGTGTAAAATATATTGGCAATATTCCCGCGCCTATAATACACACTTTCTTTCCCTTTTTGTTTGCGGCTAGTCTTTATCGTTGGCCTCGCAACGCGATATCGCGACCTCTCTCTCCTCTGCAAGGAAAAAGTCGACCGTGCGGAGCAGCTCTCCGCCGCGCGACCACCGACCAAAGGAAACACGAGACTCCTCGCTTCTTTGATACAAATTCGCGTCACGAAGGAACAGTAGAGTCTATAATATAACATCCCCCTCCGGATACACGTCTCGCGTGATGTGATGTCTCTTTCATATTTCACGTTATAGGGTAGAATAATGATAATAAAAGGGGGGGAGGGGGAATTAAGAGAAACGACGGAGGATGCATATGTGTGCGTGCATGTGACTGGTTGAATATGTGTATACACGCGAGAGAAAGAGCGAAAGTTGCGAAATACGGATAATAGAAATCATCGCGTCTCTTATTTCGTGAAAATAGAGCACGAGTTTCTTCTTCCTAGAATAATCGCTATCGGCGCGGTATACATTGGTGGTGCTAACTTTCGATTTTCCCCGTTTATCGATTTAAACTCGGACAATTACATTCCGGAACGTGGAAGAATGATACGTGGCTAATTATTGGCGGATAGGCTCTCCGAAGTGTCTCTCTAGGTAGGCTTTTCTCTCTCTCGTACATTTCGGGGGGAAAAAAAAATCGTGTGTTACGTTTTTTTTTTGCGCTACGTGTGAACGTGTACGATTTGCATTTCTTCAGATTCTATTCCATAACTCGTATCGAATATGTATGGAGGTCAGTCCGTTGCCTAATTTGCGTTTTGCTGCATAGGTAGAATACGGGAACAACTCGTGTGTAACGCATTCAAGTCAGACCGATCGATGAATCATTAACGTTAGTTGAATTTATGGCGATCGGTACTAGTACGCCAAAAATCCAATAAAGTAGTACGCTCTACTGGATAAGAGTTATACGAGTGTATCCATCGGGTGCTAGGTTAAACAGTTCTAAATTAATCTGTCTTGTTAAAGTAACGAGATACGCGTCAAGTCATTTTCCAGTATCATCATAGTTAATTACGGTGTCCAATAGGATCTCTGATATATGTGTTCTACACATAAGGTGTGCGTCCTACATTCGCGCATTCGTAGGTAGATAGAAAGTTTCTACTGTCACCACGCAACGTGACACCGTATTCTCGCATAATTCGTATCTCGAAGTAATCACAACGTTTGAAGAATAGTAGAAAAGACGGTGGAAATATGACGATCGTTAGAACGAGCAAAGTAGGTTACTTGGATCATCGTATGCGACTCGAGGGGTTATCGAAAGTTCGAGTTTCGTGCGAGGCGAGTTTACGCGCTTGGTAAAACCGTATATACCGACTTCCTATAGAGAATAAAGACAGAACGCTTTTGTCGTTGTCTCTTCGTCGGTTAGACAGCCTTGAGCTCGATAAATCACAAGCAGAAGTATAATCGCGATGTTAAAGATTCGCCTGACTCGGTTTAATTAACACGATACGATCAATGACTCGAGCAATGAATCGCGTGCGCGCGCATCTATAGCGGGAGATGCTACGAGAAATGACACGGTGAACAAACGATCAAATGAAACCCTTTATTCAACGATAAACTAATTAATCAAAATTTACCGGCCGATAATTCTCGAGCGTGTATATTACGCGAAATGGGGAAAGAGGAGAACTGTGTGTGAAAAAGAGAAAAGCAGAGGAGAGGAGAACGAGAAAGAGAAAGATGTACGCGCGCAGCAGCTGCTGCCGTTGTCGTTTCATCGGATCGATGCATCTGCTGTATAGTAACTACTATATGCAGCTGTCGTTGGCAGATGTAACGCGAAGCTGCCCGGTTCTCGTATAGTATAGGGATCAGTGCACACGGCATCGCGAAAACAGGAGAAAATCGTTCTGTGTCGGGGATAAACACGTTCTCCTGCGAATTACTTTTAATTAGAATGGTAAATAGAGGTGTGGTGGGGAGGATCGACGAGGAGGGCAGAGAGACACTTCCGGAGGGAGGTATTTGATTACTCGGAGCACAATTAGTTCGATTGAGAAAGGTAGGAGATTGAGGAGGAGGGGGTATTTCCACGCGATCACGATAGGTTTTCTTCTCTTTCTTTTTTTTTTTTATTTTTTGCTTTTTATTATCGAAGGAGAGGTGTGTTAGGGCGAAATGATCGCACAAGAAGGTGATCCAACGTGGGATACAAGGTAATTTCGGAGAGAGAGGAGCGATCTCTCCGTCAATGCTAGTTCTTACGTGACAATTTCGAGTAAAGCGATATTGGTATTGTAGTTGTTGCATTTTATTATATCGTATATACACTTGGTTTTTTTTCTTTAATTTTTTTCTCGATTGGAACACTATCGATAGGTTCGTTTTTACGATATTTTGAACAGAGCGTGGAATTTTTTGAAAGTGCTCGCATTGATGGGGAAGATCGTCGTTTGTCTTTATCGTCAGAGACTTGTTACCTTGAATCGATTGTTCGCGTGGTTTCCGGATCAGAGTGATAAGAAAAAGGGAGCTTTTTAATCGAACCTGTATCGCACATTTTTCACTGTCTTTTTAACACGTTCCGTGCCGCGTGGGTTATCGATCGTCCTCGATGTTGAACGATTTCCGTTTGCGCCGTTCGAGATAATATGTCGTTCGGAAAAGCTTTTACATACGTACCGTCGTGTAAAACGGAGGCAGTTTTCTTAATGGATTACACACGTATCGATATTCTTTGTACGTCGATTGGGATGGGTCCACCAGTGACCCACGCGGCGTAAGAAATGCATTTCTTTTTTTTTTTTTTTCATTCGTTACATCACAGGCGGGACGCACATTCGACGGAACTTTACCCCATAAAAATCCACGCGTTTAAACACGCGACGTGCAAATAGAGATTAACAGAATAGAAATTTGTCTCTCACAGATACGAAGAAAAGTTTGCTGCGTCACGAAATCAAAAAGAAAGATGGGAAAGTTTCAAAAGTGAGACGTCGTTGTGAGAACTGTTACCAAAAAAATGTGCAAATGTTCGGTAGTCGGGTTGCGAGAAATTGTACCATCAAAACAGTCACGTTTTGCGAGGATTGTTCTGGCAAGCCTCACCTCTGTCCGCCCTGTTTCAATGCGGTGCATTAACCCTTCGACAATGCGCGTCAAGTACCTAACTGTTTAGCTCAAGATTAGACTCTTAGGAAACGTGTTAGAAAAGGATGAGATATTATTGTTACATCTATCCCATATTTCGGAGTTATTAAAACTGTACGTGTAAAATATAAATTTTTTCTGACCGTCGTTCATAATTCAAATTAGACTGTCGAAGGGTTAAATCGCCGTTTACGTTACCCGGTAAACTTTTTTTTTTCTCGTTTAAATCGCGTTAATAGGAACAGGGACACGATGAGATCGAAGAGGAGTGAAAAAAGCAGAGGGGAAGAGAGGAGAGAGAGCGAGAGAGGGTGAGAGAGAGAGAGAGGGGGGGGGGGGGGTGGTTCAAATTAGACTGTCGAAGGGTTAAATCGCCGTTTACGTTACCCGGTAAACTTTTTTTTTTCTCGTTTAAATCGCGTTAATAGGAACAGGGACACGATGAGATCGAAGAGGAGTGAAAAAAGCAGAGGGGAAGAGAGGAGAGAGAGCGAGAGAGGGTGAGAGAGAGAGAGAGGGGGGGTGGGGGGTTGGATAGGTCGAGGGTGAAATTTGATGGATAACGCACGGAGCAAACGCGGGGTGTGATAGAGTTGTGCAAAAGAAATAAGAGAAGTAGCCACGGCACGGAACGTGTTCTGCTGTGCATATAATAGCACGCAATTGTGTTCGATTTAATTGTGCAATTTGATTCCGATTAAAAGTTGATTCGCGTTTCCGGCATGAAGTGTGACGATGAAGAAGAGAAAAACGGTCACGGAGGGATTATTTGCTGCGCGGTTCACGCTGATACATATATTTTGATCGTTCCAACTTTTCCTTAGCTGTGATATATTTCGTTCATGCGTGACAAAACGCGTACGTAGGTGAAAGCGAAAAAGTAGAACCGGCGTTGCGCCACGTTATTTCCAGTGCGTAGAGAGATTTCCTGTAAATGTCGTTGTTGAAACAAAGATATTTCGGTGGATATGGTAAAGGTGAGCGCGTGCTCGTTTGTATCAGCCACCCGAAGAAATACC